GAACAGTTCCCAGTTTTAGTGGGTCCTGTGGTCCGGGTGTTGGGGAGGGAGTCTAGGTCAGGGTCTGGGGATTCCCTCCAGCTCACGGTCCCCTGTGAAGTACTCACCCTGGAGCTGGTTGTTTCTGTGTGGTGTAGGTTCTCAGTTGTTGTTGCAATCCGAGTTCAGTTGGGGTGGTTGCGGGCTGGGTTGGGCGGCCCCCGCCGGGTCGTTGCGATCGTGATCTGGTGGGTGGTCTGCCGACAGGTTCCTTTGTTGCACTGCTGGTGCCAGGCGGCTTTGGCGGGATGGAGCCTCTCCGCTCCGGTGGAGAGTGAGGGGTGGGGGTGGGATCCTCGTGGAGAATCCCGGCTGGTAGGTTTCTCTGTTGCTGGCGATCTGCTGTTCTGCGAACTGGTACCTGGTATCTGCGAGTGGCCCCCTGTGTCTCTGGGGCTCTGGCAGCCCCCGCCCCGCCGGCTGGCCGGCGGCTTGGCGCTCTGCTGCGCCGCCAGTAAAGGTTGGGGGAGGGGTCTTCGCTCTTCTCTGTTCTGAAATTCTTCTTTTCCTCTCTTTCTTTTTTTGTTATTTCCAACCTCTGGTTTTTCTCTGAGTGTTCGTCTTTTTGTTGTTGTCGGTCTCTTGGGGAGATTAAGCGTTGGAACTAGAACTCTCTTTTTGGTTGGAGAGAGCTGTGGCGTTTCCCTACTGCCCCGTCGCCATCTTGGTCCCCCCTCTGATTTCATATACTTTTAACATTCACATTCTTATGTATTTTTTTCAGTTCTCAGTGGGAAAAGCTACAGAAAGAAGACACTGATCCAGGACAACTAAAAGGTATTAAAGAAAATATCCAACAAGTTACCAAGATGTTTCTTTCATTACAGATGGTGAAGTTAATACTAAAAGTATTAGAAAGTAGGGTTATAAAACAGAATGTACTTTTCATGTTGTAATAAATTTTGATTAATGATTTTCCTTCAGTTGAATACTAGTTTCTCTAAATGTTTTTAAAAAAATTTAAATTTTGGCTTGTATCATGTGACAGTTAAGCAACTTAGGTTTCTTTCATGTTTTTATTAAAGCAGTTATGATGCAATCTTATCTTGATGTATGTTCCAACTTCTCAAATTTTATGGAGTAAAATCCAGTTCTAACTAAACCCTGTTTTGGAATACATGGTCATGTTTCAAGCATTGTGCCTTCTGCTTTCTTTAACAAAACTGTTACTTTGGGTTTATCCTAAGTAGAACTAGTTTTACTCTTAAAAAAATAAAGTCTGGCTGGGTACCAGTGGCTCACGCCTGCTACTCGGGAAGCTGAGATCTGCAGATTGCGGTTCAAAACCAGCCTAGGTAGGAAAGGCTGTGAGACTTTTATCTCCAATAAACCACTCAGGGAAACTGGAAATGGGCTCAAGTGTTAGAGTGCTAGTCTTGAGCTGAAGTGCTGGGGGACAGCGCCCAGGCCCAAAGTTCAAGCCCCATAATGGACCAAAAAAAAGTATTTTCACTATATTTGATTCCAGTGCCCTGCATCGTTTATATATATTTTTCTAATTTGGGGAGGGGAAAGGAAATAACAAAATGCTGAAATAAGGATACAGGTGACCCATTGTAACAATGAAATGTACAAGACACTATGTTGAAAACGAACTTTACAACTTGTTCGGGGGGGAGGTTGGAGAGGTGGGGAGGGAAAGGATGGTAGGGGAAAAACCAAGGAGGAGGTAACAATGCTCCATAAGAAATGTACTCTTGGGGCTGGGAAGGTGGCTCAGTGGTAGAGCACTTGCCTTGCATGCACGAGGCCCTGGGTTCGATTCCTCAGCACCACATAAGAAAAAAGCCGGAAGTGGCACTGTGGCTCAAGTGGTAGAGCACTAGCCTTGAGCTGAAGAACTGAGGGACAGCGCTAAGGCCCAGAGTTCAGGCCCCACGACTGGACCAAAAAAAAAAAAAAAAAAGCAATGTACTCTTTACCTTACTCATGTAACTGTAACCCCTCTGAACAGTATTTTTACAATAAAAAATATATACGGAAAAAAAAAAGTGTGCAGAAATTGCTCTGCACTAGTTCCTAATGGTGTGATCAGTTTCATATGTAAAACTGAAAAGAATATTTAACTAAGTAACTATAGAGGTTTAAAGTCTTTAAAGTACCTAGTATTGTCTGACACATTCTGAATATTCAGAAAATATCAGGTTCCTTAAGAATCATTGCCGCTTGACTATGTTATTTATTCAGCAACTCATTATTTCCTGTATATTTGGTATAAAAAGGGGGCATACTAGATAGTTTGTGAGCAAACAGCATAGCTTAGTAAGAGACAGAACTTTTATGTAACTGTTGGCATTAGTCATAGTATTACGTTAGATTAGTTATAATATGTGAGATTCATGTGAAATACACAGTAGGAATTCATAGTATACTATTTGGGGAAAGTAGAGAGTATTAGGGAATGTTTAACTAAAAGTATAGCCTTGAAGGGAAGAATGGGTAAGGATGTAGAATTCAGAATAGAAGCGCCCAAGCAAAAATAGTAATATGAGCAAAGCATATCATAAATAATAATGCTCAGCACTGCAATTCATTGTCATCGTGGCATTTTTAGTTGAGGAAATTTTTGACTAGAGAATACCACATGGAAATGAAAAGATAAATGAGAAGAGATACTGAAAACTTAATGGTAGGACAAAACAACTTCTTGGAAGGTGAAGATCAGAGTATCACGGTTTGAGTCTAGCCTGGGAAAAAAGTTAGACTGTGTCTCAACAAATAAACTGGTGTGATAGTAGGTATCTGTAATCTCAGCTAAATGGGGAACATGGTAGAAGAATTGTATTCAACTGGCTCCAGGCAAAAACCCCACAAGATCCTATACAGAAAATAAAAGGAAAAAGAACTGAAGATGTGGCTCAAGTGGTAGAGTCCCTGCCTAGCTAGTAAAAGACTCTGAGAATAAATCCTAGTCTTGTGCCTCCCCACAGATATGCCCATTGGTAGCTTGATAAATGTCACCATGAAAGTATTTTTTTATGTGCAGGTCTCTCAGCATATACACATGTGGAACTCCCATACTACTCTAAATTTATTCTTATTGCTGCTTACCTTGCTTCGTACAACCCAGCAAGAACTGACAAGAGGTTCTTCCTTAAGGTAATAGTAAAATATTGCTTTTCATTTTATTTTGGAAGACTCCAGAGTACTCTTGACTTTTTATATCTATAACTATCACACCTGAAGGTTTAATTATTGGAAGATGAAAAAAACATTGTGTCTATTGAACATGTAAAGACTTTTTCTTGTCATTCCTTAAATAATGCAGTGCAAAACTATCTAGCATTTATATTATATTTATTATTTAATCTAGAGATGATTTAAAGTACACAGTAGGTTGTATACAACTAGTTTATCATGTTACGTAAGGGATTTGAATGTCCTTGGGTTTTGTTCTGGGGATAGGGGCTCTTTTATCCTCCATAAATACTGAGGAATGACTGTTTTGAGTTTCTTAATCCTTTCTCCTGACCTGTCTGGTTTCTATTTAAATGTTGCCTTTCCTCCTAAGTAGGCGTTTTGGTGCAAAGCGATTTGCTTCTTTAGGCTTACAGCAGTTTATACTGAATTTTCTTTTTTTCTTTTTTTGGTCACTTGTGGCACTTGAACTCAGGTCTTGATTACCATCTCTCAGCTCTTTTGCTCAAGGCTAGCATTCTCCCACTTTGAACCACAGCTTCACTTCTCATTTTTGAGGGGTTAATTGGAGATGAGACTTTTCTGCCCAGACTGGATTCAAACTGCGATCCTCAGATCTCCACCTCCTAAGTAGCTAGGATTATAGGCATAAGCCTCCAGTGCCTGGCTCACTCCTACCCTCCTTCCTTCCTTCCTTCCTTCCTCTGTCTCACCACTGTTCAGTCTCATAAGAGCAGGGTCCACATATACTCCTTTTACCCTTCCTTATGGAATCCTGATGCCTAAGTACTTTCAGTCAATATTTGTCCTTTAATAAATTAAAAACTCATTCATCTTTGGAAGTTCTGTTTTTGTAGCAATAAATATACATCACTTAATATAATAAATTATTCTAATATAATAAATTATTCTAATAAGAATAACTATTTAAAATCATTTTGTGCAAAAGTAATCTTGTATCCAGGTCAAATCTAAATCAGCCTAAAGATACTGAAGTCTTTAATATAGGGTATTTATATTATAACCTTGTATAAGGTTATGATATACAAGGTTAAATAAATACAAGGTTATAAGTAATTTTGAAAGTCTGGAATATAGAAACTAGTATGTATGACATCTTTTAACAAATTGTCTTTTCTGGTTTTATGTAGTTTTGTATTTTTATAATCTTAATTATTTTTCTTAATTTCAGCATCATGGAAAAATCAAGAAAACCAACTTTCTAAAGAAACATGAAAAGGTATTTATATTATGAATTCTCTTATGGTAGAAACATGAATTTAGGATAGTACAGAAAATGGATATTTGTATAATATAGTTATTCGCATATGAGAACTTATGTTGATATAATACCACTTACTATTACAATAGCATTTTGTTACATGAGTACAATGATTGAGGCGCATTCATATGAGCTGGTAATAGATAAAGCTGAGTTAACATGTAATCTTAGCTATTCACTTGGCTGAGATCTGAGGATCATCATTTGGTTTGAATCCAGTCCGGGTAGGAAAGTATGTGGTACTTATTTATCAAAGCCAGAAGTGGAGCTGGGCCCAAATGGTAGAGTACTATCCTTGAGCAAAATAAGCTCAAGGACAGACAAGTGCCCATTTTTTGAGGTCAAGCTCAGAACTGGCAATCCCCTCTCCTGCCCCCCACAAATAACCTGAATTGATAGTGTTTTTAGTGACTTGGTTGATGAAAAGGAGTACCTGGCTTATTTAATCAAATATAGATGACTTAATATGAAAGTATATTGAATATACTTTTCTCTTTTCCATTTGAAACACCCACAAGAATCACATTGAACAGTTTTTAAAAGGTCTAGGCATGGTGGTACACATCTCTAATCCCACTACACAGGAGGTGCATTTAGTAGGATCACAGTCTCTTGCTAGTGTCAGGAAAAATGCAGGAGTGAGGGTCAAACCCCAATACTGCCGAAAAGAAAAAAAAAAAAGAAGAAGAAAAGCAAAATTAAAAGGAATCTCATAAAGACTAAGCTGCTGGGCACTGATGATTCAACTTGTAATCCTTGCTACTCAAGAGGCTGAGATCTTGAGTCACAGTTCAGAGCCAGTCTAGGTAGAAAAGTCTGCCAGACTTCAACTCCAATTGACCATAAAAAACACCAGTCTAGAGGCCTAACAAGGGTAGATCACCATCCTGTGCGCAAATTAGCCAAGAGAGTTCAAGCCCAGTAATCACACGCATGCACACACAGACACAAAGACTAAGCTAGTGAGACCACCAATATTTGTAATTTGTAATTGCATAATATATAGATATTTAGGTCCCTAAGCAAAGCTGATGAGACCAAAACAGAATACTAAAATCAAGCTGAATGGTCTGAAGAATCTGACAAAGCTCAAGAATGAGTGGCATTTGATGAAAGAAGGTTTAAATTATTGGGATTCCTTTCCATTTGGTACATCAAAACTGCTTCTCTTTGCTGAATATGGCTTACACAATAGATTGTTTATATACTGTTTCCAAAATGACCAAATATGAGTTTCATGCCCTAATGGTAAATTTGAGTGACCTATGGTAGCTAGCCTTTAGAGGGGAAAAAGGAAGGATCTAGTGATTTGAATGGCCAGATTTGGAAATGCTACTCATATTGCAGTGGACAAACTCAATTAAATGACTTCTCACTGGAGGAAAGACTTGAGAAATGAGGTATTCTTATGCACATAAAAAGAACAAACAGTTCTGGAAGCAAGTATTATTGTCTTTGCCTCATTTTCTAGTCTGTCAGTCCTACTTTATACGAATTCTAAGAAGGAATATATAGATTTATTAGCTATAGTTTTACTTTAATAGTGATTATCAATTTTTGTATACTGGAGTTTTGGATCCAGAGCCTTAACATTTGCTAGGCAAGTGTTCTACCACTTGAGCCATGCCTCACTTATGTAATGATTTGGGGGGGTAGATATATGGTGATATAGCATAAAATCAGATACTAGTAGATGAAAAATTGATTCAAGTTACTTGAATCTTCAAGGATTAACCTCAAAAATACAATGTGAAAGAAAAATCAGTGCAGTAAAAAGATGTGTTCATTAGAGTGCACTGGCTCATGCCTGTAATTTCAACTACTCGAGAGTAGTGATTTGAAGGGTCACATTTCAAAGCCAGCCAGGGCAAAAACTTAGGGAGACCCTATCTCAACAAATAATTTGGGATGGCTTTGCATACCTGTCATCTCAACTTCCTGAAAGGCATAATAGATGGAAGGATCCCCTCGAGGCCAGCTCAGGCAAAAAGTATGAGGTCTTGTTGAGAAAGTAACAAAAACAAAATGACAAGCATGAAATCCTGAGTTCAAACTCTAGTACAGCCAGTATATAGGTGTGCATGTCCAAATTGATATAGTTTATAGAGAATTTTAAATCATTCAAACGGTGCTATATCTTGTTTTGTGGACAAAATCACTAACAATATAAAAACTGTTATGAGTGTTTAAAACATCTGTTCTAGATATCAAGTCCTTTTAGGGACTGAAAGGGAAAATGAGGAAAAAATTTAGAGTTCCAACTTAATGTAATGTGATAAAATTTTTCTTTGTATTACATAATATTAGAAAATGATAAAATTCATTGGTGTGTTATTAATCTGTACCTTTCCAAATATTTTAAGCGTTTTAGACAAGCATGCAAAATTTAAGACCTCAAAAATTATTTCTAAACTATCTTTTAGTACAAATGGTGAAACAAATAATGCATTTTGTGGGCTGGGAAGGTGGCTCAGTGGTAGAGCACTTGCCTTGCATGCATGGGGCCCTGGGTTCGATTCCTCAGCACCACATAAGCAAAAAGAAAAAAGCCGGAAGTGGCGGTATGGCTCAAGTGGTAGAGCGCTAGCCTTGAGCTGAAAAGCGAGGGACAGTGCCCAGGCCCAGAGTTCAGGCCCCATGCCCAGACCCCCCCCCAAAAAAAAATAATGCATTTTGTATTTCTGAGCAGTAGTTTTTCTTTACAGTCATTTTTGTAAATATTCTCATGCTTATAAATAGTTTGCCATTTTATTCATCTTTGCTTAGAATGTTCCTAAGTTGTCCAATTTCTACAAGAGTTAACTGTTAATGGAAAGGAATTTACACTGCAATTTTTTAAATGATGTGATTATATCATATGAGTTTCTGTGCAATTATGAACATTTTAAATTAATTTGACATCATTTATAGTCTGACAGATTATTCATACATAAACCTAGCTATGTTTATCATAATTGCTCTTTTTCATTAATGGTGAATAGTTTCCAGGAAGTGATCCTAAGAAGAATGAAAAGGAATTAGTGGATTCTAGTTAAGAAGTTAAGAACTTGGTTTTGGCTGTGCATTATCTTGACGAATCACTTGAAAAAGTCATTTAACATCTAATTTTAATAGCAAAATAGCAATTTTCAAGATTTTACACCATTAAGAAAGATTGTAGATACTAAGAAAATTTTAAGACATAAAAGACATATTATGTAAAGTTTTAGCTGAAGGACTCAATAGGTTAGATTTGTTAGCATTTCTAGGGTGAACATATGCAAACATACTGCTATTGAGATTTTATGGTTATAGAAAGTGAGTGTTTTGGTTAAAGAATAAAACTCCATTTTTTTTTTTTGACAGACAAGCAATCATCTCCTTGGACCAAAGTCGTTTCCATTAGACAGATTATTAGCAATATTATATAGTATTGTGGACAGCAGAGTTGCTCCAACAGCAAATATATTTTCTCAGGTAAGCTTAGAATATTAGATTATTATCTATATTTTTTAAATTGTGATTAAGTAATTATATAATTTCCCAAATTTCGCAGTATTGTGGGATAGTGATGCTCAGTTAAAGTCAGAAACACATTCTAACTTTCCTGGAGCAAATTGTCTATCACGGTCTATAACATTTATGAGTTGCGATACAGTTATTTCTTCCACATTGGGTGGTATGTACACTTCTTTTGTTTTGCATAGCATCAGCTGTTCCCTCTTTCCCATTTGTTCCTCCCTCCCATCGCTGCCATTAAGTTGCTTAGTTCATTTTGGTCAATGTCCTGTGCAGCTAATGGGTCCCACTGTTGTATGTTTTTCCCTGATTCCCTCTAGTTCTGTGTCGTCTTCCTAGTTCCCCTCTGGTGTACACGTATATACCATACATGTTATTATCTATATCTTAAAATTGGTTCTTTTGGTACTAAGTTGATTCAATTCCATGTTCAGTTTTGTGTTCAACCTATCTTACCATCCTAAAGTAATTTGTTTTTGGTTCTCTCTTCAAAAAGAATTTTTAAATTCTCTTGCTGATTAAACAAGTGATTCACTGATTAAATTTATGGACTTTAATATATAAATAAGCTAGTAAAAACAACATTTTAAAAATGCATTTGCAAGCTGTGCTCTGGTGGTTCAGGCTGTAATCGTACCTACTCAGAAAGCCGATATCTGAGGATTGTGGTTTGAAGCTAGTCCAGGCAGAAAATCCATGAGACTCTTAACTCCATTAAACCAGCAAAAAGCTGAGTGGAAGTGTGGCTCAAGTGGTGAGCACTAGCAGAAGGCCCTGAATTGAGGCTCCAGCACTGATACTTTTTCTCATACTCACATATATACACCATTGCTCTATATATTGAATTGAGATTATTGAAGATAATCTTTAATGTGACATTATATACAGGTTGGCTCTTTTAAAAAATTGGTCTATTTTCCAGAATACTTAATTTTTCAGAGTTTCACTAGGTGGCAGTAGAAGCATAATAGAAAATATGTTTTATGTTTTTAAAGAATGTTGAGTCTTAGTTGACGTTTTTTGATTTTTGTTTTTTTTTTTGTTTTTTTCGGGGGTCCGGTTGTGGGGCCTGAACTCTGGGCCTGGGCACTGTCCCTCAGCTCTTCAGCTCAAGGCTAGCGCTCTATCACTTGAGCCACAGCGCTACTTCCAGCTTTTTTCTTTTTGCTTATGAGGTGCTGAGGAATCGAACCCAGGGCCTCATGCATGCAAGGCAAGCACTCTACCACTGAGCCACCTTCTCAACCCCTTAGTTGACGTTTTTAAGAAAAAAAATTATTGAAAGTATAGTTACAGATTTCTTAAATGGTTCAGAAAGATAATGCTTAGTACATGATGTAACTGGAAGTGAGAACACAACTAGCAATTTGTAGTTACTCAAAGTCAATAGAAATTACAATGATTTTGTTTAGTTTTTTTGTTAAGAAATATGTAAGTAAAAGTTACATTTTAGTTAAATTCATTATGAATAAATTTGTTCTCAGACTGGATGTCAGGTTTTATAATCTATTATATTGTGGTGGCTTTTAATTAGTTATTGGGAGGTTTCTGATTTTGAGTTTTTTCTGGCTATTCTGGATTTTGATTATGATGAATGGTGTCACTAGTTTTTATGGTTTTAGCAATGCCAGTAATGTAATTAAGGGGCCCCAAGTACATCTTTATCTGCGAAGAACATAAGTTCTTTCCATAAATTTTTTCCAGTCTTGGCAGTTGAAATTGTTGATACTTTTTTATCTGTTTTTATTTGCATTTAAAAACTAAAATGAGTTGTACATTTAAAACACTGCACTAAATGAATTTCCTTATATTCATTTATTAAGTCATTTAGGAACTTGGTTGTTCCCATTTGGGATACAGAGGGTAGAAAAGTTCACAAGAGTGAATACAACAGTGAATATACCATAGGGGGATGAACATACAAAAGAAAATCACATAGTACATAAAAAATAACAACAAAGAAAAACATCTTATGTCCATATCTTGGGGTTCATATCCCCTGTTGTCACTGTATTTGATTTGGGTACCCTGTGTCTTGGATATACATTTATCTAATTTGGGGATGGGAAGGAGAATAACAAAATGCTGAAACAAGGTCACAGAATAACGCATTGCAATCATGATACTCACAAGACACTATGTTGGAAATGAACTTTACAACTTGGATGGGGAGGAGGGGAAGAGGGAATGGATAGTAGGAAAAAAACAAAAGCGGGGGTAACAATGTTCAACAAGAAATATACTCATGTAACTGTAACCCCTCTGTATAGCATCTTTACAAAAAAAAAAGTGAATACAAGTAGCCCTAAAGAATTGACCTTCATTTTACTTGGTTATAAAATACTGCACACTCACAGCACAGTATGTTGGAAATGAACTTTACAACTTGTATGAAGAGGAATTTGGAGGGGGAAATGGGAGAAAAAGGAGGGAGTGGGTAACAATGTTCAACAAGAAATGTACTCGCTACTTTATATATGTAACTGTAACCCCTTTGTACATCACTTTGACAATAAAATTAAATTAAAACAATACTGGGATCAAATAGATAGATGGCAGGAATTATACCTAAAAGAACATAATTTCTATCACATGCCTTGAATTTGTTTCTATTTTTCCTTTTTATCTTTTTGTTGGATCTATCAAAATATACTCTTTTGCATAGGAATCACAATTTGTATTTATCCTATACATTCTTAATTTTTGATAAATAAGAGTATGATCTTTATGCTGGACTCTGGTTGCTTACTCCTGTAAGCAACACACACATACACACACACACACACACGCACACACACACACACACAGTATTGGAAGTGCTTGTTTGATTTGAACACTAGATGGCAGTATAGTTTCATTCTAGCTTTAAATTAAGTCAAAGGGGAAAAGGCTTTAACGTGTTAACTTTATCTTTGATAAAGAGTTTTTAGGTCGACAAGTTGGTTTTTGAATGAAAGTAAAAATTATCTGAAGATATTTAATAATATAGTGTGTATACACTTTCATGACAATGTGAATAAAACTGTAAAGGAATTATATTACATAAATACTTTCCCAGGAAGTAAATTACATCTGAATGAACTGATGATATATTTTTCTGTTCATCTAATCTATGTGCAATTATTTAAGGGTTTATTTTATAGTAATATGTCGTTTTTGTAGCTTGATTTGCCACTTATGATTATTACATATAATGTAATAAATTAACCAGGTGATAAACACATTCAGGATGACTTGAAGCAAAACCCTATTTTTATTGCATTTGATTTAAATTATTCTTATAATGAAGGTGTAAATTAATAACTTACAGCTTTAAAGCATATTAACATTCTACTTGTGAACAATAATCAAATTTGTGATATATCACATTGTATTTGGTATTCCAAGTTATTGAATTGTTGGAACACTTTTTTATTAAGAATTTTGTCAGCCGGGCGCTGGTGGCTCACGCCTGTAATCCTAGCTACTCAGGAGGCTGAGATCTGAGGATCGCGGTTCAAAGCCAGCCCGGGCAGGAGAGACCGTGAGACTCCTATCTCCAATAAACCACCAGAAAACCGGAAGTGGCGCTGTAGCTCAAGTGGTAGAGCACTCGCCTTGAGCTGAAGAGCTGAGGGACAGCGCCCAGGCCCGGAGTTCAAGCCCCACGACCGACAAAAAAAAAAAAAAAAAGAATTTTGTCTCAAATAATTGAACAGTAGTAGTACATTTGATATTAAATCTCATTAGTGCTCAGATTTATTGAACTTATGGAAAATATAGTTAAATATTTTTACTTTTGAAATCATTTCCATTGCAATTTTTACCTTTGAAACATTTTTACAGTCATTGTCATAGGTCATTTAAATTTTTTTCACTCAAATACTAAGTTACATTCCTAAATATCAGAGGTGACAAAACATTGTTTCTGATGTTTTATAATTTTCTCTTTTCCTTCTTCATATGTGGATAGAATGAGTAAATCATTCCACTCACATAAAGTATATATGTACAGTTTTTAGGTGTTACCTGTACTGTTACTATTAACACTTTGAAAAAAATTTTAAGCTAATTTACCATAATTTTGCTTTTAATAGCTTAAAATAAGTTACTTTAGCTGTTATAAAATTATTGTGAATTAATATCAAGAAAGAGAAGTAAGGAAAGGATTACTTAAGAGATTTATATACCATATTGATAATTGAAATATTTTAGTAATCTGTAATGTCTGAATAACTTCATATTATAGTTGTAGAGAATTTAACAAGAAATTACAATTGAAATGTCCTTATAAATTTGTTTATTTATATGCTCATGAATAAATAGTACTTTGAGATATATACTAGAATATATTTGCATATATTTGTTTAATTGGTTAGCTTTTCTTTTTGGTCAGGAATCAAGTGAATCTTTGATCAGAGAGGTTGCAGTTGTTTTGTATACCTGAGTAGAAAGTTTAACAACATAGTCAAGTATGTTATTGGTTTAGGAGCTAAATAGTATCTATTTGAATTACTTTTTCTACATGAATTATTACTAATCAAATAGCAGAATGATAATTTAATTATCAGTTTTTAAAAATAAATAATGTACATCTAATTTGCCATAGCTATAGAAAGGTGGTTTTGCTATACTTATTAGAGTTAAGAGTACCACTGCCAATGTGCTCAACCTACATTGGAGCAGTAAATGGAATTCTCAAATCTCCCTCTATACCTGGTTTGGATGTATTACCCTTCTTCCTTCACACTACCCTGCGGTAGGTGCCTATTCAGATTTTAAAAAACAATTTTGGGATGCTTTATAATTGAAAAGAGTAAATTTGATCTATGATTTTCACAAGCTGTGCAGTTGTTACAAGAAATACTAATAGTACTTATTAACAAGGGTAGTAAAAAAGAAAAGACTGTTACTCAACTGTCCAAGGCAAAATGTTATTTTTATTCTCATTTGTAAAAGAACAATGTTTTCTTCTGTTC